AAAAAAAAAAAAAAAAGAATGGCCTCAGGACAAGTTTTAGATGAAGCTAACTGAGATGAAACTAGAAAGAAGGTAAAATTCTACTTTCTTATTAATGACACACTTAGAATTATCTCTAATCTTTGCTTTTGTTTTACATTCTGCACACCCTAAAGCTACTTTAATTGGGCTCCCTACAGATGATCACTGTTTTGCAATTCAGTGCTCAGTTTTTCAGAGTATTTCCATTACTAAAGAGGGGATATCTGAAAAGTAAACACACAGAGCGGTGTCTGGGTGGCTTAGTCAGTTAAGCAACCAACTCTTGATTTCCGTGAAGGTCACTATCTTGATCTCACCCTTCGGTTCCTGGTTGGTTCTTCAGACCCAGACTACATCCAGCTAGCTGTGTGCTGACAGCTCAGAGGAGGCTTGAGATTCTCTCTCTCTTTCTGCCCCTCCCCGGGCATGTGTGCACTCGTGTGTGCACTCACGCAAGTGTACTCTCTATCTCCCTCTCAAAATAAATAAACTTCAAAACAGAGTCAACATACAGAAGTAAACATTACAAAATGTGCCTTTACATATTTCCTCACTCTCTCCTGCATCAGTACATACTTGTTCACACCTTCTCTACATCACTTACAGAATCCAATGATAAAAAGTTCCTTACTTGGTATTATGTGTATCAATGGTATGGAAAAGCTCATGTAATTCTTCTCCACTCAGAACACCATCTGCAAAATACGCTTTGAATTCTTCAAAGGACAATTTTCCATCATCTGAAACGGTAAGAACACACAGAAGTTAAGCAAATCATTTCAACTTTGTATATTGTTTTGTCGTTTAATTTTAAAATCTTGGCTCAAATGCTTATGCTGGTTTATTTGTGCATGTACACACATTTATTTAAAAAGAGGGAGGGGCGCCTGGGTGGCTCAGTTGGTTGAGTATCCGACTTCGGCTCAGGTCATGATCTCACGGTTTGTGAGTTCGAGCCCCGCGTTGGGCTGTGTGCTGACAGCTCAGAGCCTGGAGCCTGCTTTGGATTCTGTGTCTCCCTCTCTCTCTGCCTCTTCCCTACTCACAATCTGCCTCTCTGTCTCTCAGAAATGAATAAATGGCAAAAAGAACTTTAAAAAATAAAAAAGAAAGAATAATTGAAGGTGTTAAAAAGAAAAATAATTTAATACATTTTTATAGTACATGGACTTCAGACATTTACTCCCTGATGAAATAAGTCTTCATGGTTTTAAGTATGTTTGGGTTCATTTATTTTTACATTTAACAAGCAATTTAACTAAATATACCAAAAATATATCCGCACAACCAAATAAAAGCCTAATACAGAGTCATTATTCAGATGTTCTGTCTTTATCTATAGGACCTAGCAGGTTACAGAATAAACAGATGTTTAATAAGTGAATACTGATTATTTAAAAAA